TGCAACATATATGCGTGATGCAATAAGTTGATCGCGATGAGAACAAATTAAAAAACCTATTGCTACTTTGTCTCGATGGAGAAAAACTTAGATCACAGAGCAGGTGAAAGGAGGAGTAGTATGTGATCTAAAGCATAACATAACATGTATTTCCACTCAATTTTTAAGAACATAAGCATTATAAATAATTTTCGCCCAATTTGTTGTTGGAAATTTGGCGCGTATGGTGGAGGAAACTTCTTCTTGGTTGTCTGGTGAAAGTATAGAACAGAAGTGTTTTTTGGTGTGGCCCGCAAAAGATTGGGTGTATATTCTCCATAATCAGATTTAGATCTTAGACAGCTGAAATGTGGCTTTTAGGATACGGTTTGGTATCATTTTGTGTCTCCACACACCCTTTTGGCCGCCAACCTTTTCCCTCTTCATTTCTTCCTCTTTTCTTGGTCGAGTATACTTCTTCTATGATCTTCCCCTTTCTACCTCCTCAGGTGTATGCACATTGATATTAGAGTTAGATGAGAGGAAAAGATCTGTCTGATAAGTGTTCATCTGAACTATTGATTATAAGTAATTTTTTTTCTAAAATATAATCTCTCTAAACATTACTCTTGCGTGTTTCGGGTACACCAATATGTGTATCCGGAACATGCAAAAATTTCTATTGAGCACGTTAGCCTTGAAACACAGATGTCAAACTCCAATCACCTTCACTCTTAGAACCATCAAACTCCTTCCCTCACTTCTTTGCTCTCAAATCCCATTATATTCGACGCTTTTTTTTTCTTCTTATATATATTTTTTGGATGTTTTTTCAATTAAAGAGATATGAGGAACCAATATCTTATTCGACCAAAACAATTTTTTATTATAAAAAACCTAAAGATCCAATATCCCACGACACATTACTGATAATTCGATAAATGAAAAAAAATGTTCATATAAGATTTATATTCTACATCAACAATAATATAAATAAACACAAATTTGAATTTGGGCGGTCCTTTGATTATAAAAAACCTAAAGATCCAATATCCCACGACACATTACTGATAATTCGATAAATGAAAAAAAAATGTTCATATAAGATTTATATTCTACATCAACAATAATATAAATAAACACAAATTTGAATTTGGGCGGTCCTTTGTATTTTGTTTTGTTTTTCTGTTTTTTGGGGAAACAATAAATTACACAGCAGAAATTCGATAAATACAAAACTAAAATTGGGAAGAGGAGAGAGAATGGCCTAACCAAGTGCAATTCACTATCATCAACCCCCTGGTGTGCACTTGCTAATCCTGCGCCCATGCCCTGCCCTTACGTTTCTCTTGTTCTTCTTTCTTTGTTAATAGTATCACCCTTGGCGCAAGTTAGCACGAGCTAAGAGGTTGATTTCAACTTCCATCTTCTTTCACGACCGTTGCCCGCCCAAATTATGGAAAACAAAAAAACCCGGCCCATTTACCCATCTCCATCCAGGTCCTTTCACATGTAGCTTAGATTTCCGGCTGAGGGGATCCGTGGGACCTTTCCGCCACTCTTGCTACCATTCCTTTTCCGGGTCTTACTATCCGAATCGCCCGACCCGCATACAATGGAGCACTCGATGCCACAAATATTACTAAAGCACGAGAAGAGCCCGCTTCCGCCGTCGCTGTGCCGCCGCTCGTGGCGCTCTTCGCTGGAAGGAAAGCTCGAGAACTCTCCGCGATCGTAAACCGGCGGCAGCTCCGTGCGCCACCGCTCGAGTTTGGACTGCAAGCCCTCCACGCTTTCTTCCTCGTTCCACGCTCCCACCACCACCGAGCTCTCCGTGTCCTGATCCACGCGCTCCTTCGCGATCGCCGCCGCCACCTCCGACGGCGACGGCCCCAGCTCCGACTCCGTTATGAACGGCGCCGGCATCATGTTCGATTTCCTCGGCGTCGCGTACTGCTCGTACGGCGACTGCAGCTTGTAGAACGGCGATTTGCCAGCTCGCGGCGCCGACTTCCGTCCGGGGGTAGAACCGTAATTTTCTGCCAGGTTGAATTTCGGCGATGGTTTGTAACTGGCGGGTTGCCTTCTGGGCGGGTCTTCCGGTTCGGATGCGGTGGGTATGGAGCTTGCGGTAATACCATTTTTCTGTGGGTACCGCACGCTGGCTTCGGAGGCGCTGAGAACGGAGCTCGGCTTCCCTTTTTTGTCTTTTCCGTACTTTGGTGGGGCCACCGAGCTGTTCACGTCTGAGGCGCCGAGTATGGAGCTCGGCTTCCCTTTTTGGTAGCTTATATCTGAGGCGCTAAGCATGGAGCTTGATTTTCCTTTTTTGTCCTTGCTCTTCCTGATAATTATTTCTGAGCCACCAATAATCGAGCTGGCTTTGGACAGACGACCTTTTTTGTTCTTTTTTATGCTGACTTCTGACCCGTTGACCGCTGAGCTCGCTTTTCCATTTTTGCCCTTGTTTTTAAATTCTGTGGCTCTCAGCTCCGACCCGAACATGGAGCTGGAGTCGCTCTTGCTGCGCCGTAGCTCCGGCTTCGAATACGTCGTCATTTGACTGCCTGCATGATGGTTTTGACTACTGCGATGTGGGTCTTCCTCGCCCATCAAGGTTTTGTATCCGACGGCTGATGTGCTGAGTTGGGAATACAAGGGCATGCTCCTCATGGAGCTGTGAAGCAGCGCCACGCCGATGTTTAGAATCCCCTGCGGCCGGCCAGAGGGGCGGCGCACCTGGAGCGCTACGAACCGCATGCCTAGCTGAGGGTTGTGGTGGTGAGGCTTTGCCGGGGTGGGGATAAGGTTACCCACCAGGACACGAACCGTGCCCACATGGACGTCCTTGAACCAATGGAGAGCGTAGATCTCAATCATCACCGCGGAGGTGTCCTCGTGTAAAAAATCCTCGTCCACCCGGAACACAAACTTGTCGTTCCATGTCGGATTGTTGTGGCCCTGAGTGTCCACCCGCGTCGACAGCTTTCGATCTGGGTGCACCCATGCAATGGCGTACGTGCGCATGGAGCGTGATATTGGCGCAATGTCCTGGGCCGATATCACGTTGAGTTCCAGGAGTTGAAACGGAGCTAAGATTGATTGAGACATTGTCACCGCGATTGAATAATAAATTCAAATCGCGTCTTCTTTAAGGTTTTATGATCGATGGATATTCAATAGAGGCTAGCTATAATTTACGTATATATTTTTTGTTTTGTTTTTTCTTGTTTTTGGTGACAATTGATAGACAGAGGATCAAAGAGATGGACGTAAATGTGTTTTAAAAAAGTGATGGTAGTAGTGGCGAAGATGGAGATGGTTCCGCTCGTCGTCCTCTTCTTGGACGACGAGAGGCAAGGGCATGCATCAAGGGGGAAGGGAGATATGGTTGAAAAAAGGGAGGAAGGGAGAGAGAGAATGAGGGCACCTGCGAGGTGGAATTGTGCGAAAACAGCGTAGAATAATGGAGGGTTGGTTATGTGGGAAAGACAAATGTCAATGCGAGAGAGTTTGACCCCACGGTTTTTTGTTACACCGAGGTTTAATTTTGGAAGGTGTGGGGGAGGTGAAGGAGGAGGTTGTTGATTTGGCTTAATTACATGCACAGTCCCTGAGCTAAAATTAAGGTAATTTCAGGGTGAGATTTTATGGTCCTTTCAAATTTTCAATCATGTAATTGACTTAAGCAGCTAACATAACAGTAATTTCTAATTTGGTGAGCCAGAGGGGTTTACAGTATCACCTTAAGTCCTTAACTAATAACTATATTTGGTTAGCATCAAACTGGGAAATTCTGATGCTTCGCTTTGGCTGGCACAGTGTATATTCCAAGTACCATTTTCACTTGCAAAATCAAAAGTGGTTCTACCTGTCTTGTATTTAGTAAAAACAAGCCTAGCTAACAACAATTTGATATACCCTAGTCCTAGATATAGAACTGAAGAAGATCATAAATAAAACTAACTCGTTACGGTTGATTGATATCACATCTGAATTTTTTTTAAACAATTACGGAAAATGCTTAATAGCAAACTGTTTTAGTTTTAGTTTTCGTGTATAAATTTACATGGTATTTGACGTGTACACTACATCATTGCATTAAAACAACCACCTATTTTAATGTGTGAGAGAGAGTCATGTTGGTTTTAATTTTTTGTAAGTATAACAGTATCTATCGATTAGTTAGGTGAACACAATCAAACTTATATGACATGACATAAAAAAGTGTAACCTATTTATCAATAATGTAAATCAAGTCATTACTCTATCTTAAGCGCCTCTTTTATGTACCAGAATTCTATAATGAGGGCCTTATATATGGCCCTTAAGTGAGACCCTATATCTTAACCGTTAGATCAAATTGGTTAGCCTGATTCAATAATTAAGAGATAAAACCTTACCTAAAGGCCATATATAAGGCCCTCGCTATAAAATGACTCATATTATGTAACCTGATTATAAAACGGTCTATGTTCAAATTCTAACCAAGTAGTCCATCAGTCCAAAACTGCTATTCCACTGAAAGACATACGGGCCCTTAAGTCATTACTCATAGGCCTTTTGTTGAGAATGTGGTACCAACCTTCGAACTCAAGACCACTAGGAGTTAGTGCAAGCGCACTTAACCACAAGGGCAGGTTGAAGGCCTTTTGAAATGGGCAAAATTTGTGTAAGCCCATGCCACTTTTCTTGACCTTTGAATCGAATCAAAATGAAGTGGTGTAACTCAAGTGTTATCCCTGCACTCCGAGTTTCTAAGTTGGATATTCCCCATAATATCGCTTATATAAAATTAGAAAAAATCAAAATCAAGCGGTGTTGTTTTGGAATGTTGCTTAAAAAAACCTGTACCCAAAAGATCAAGAAAGAATGCACGACACCTTTCAATGAAAGTTACACGTGCCAGAGCTTGCTGTCTCTCCGAGCAGCCAATAAAGAAAATTCACAATAAAAATACTTACTTCATGGCCCAGCTTACATATCTCTCACATTAATGACAAATTCAACTTGTGCAAATAAATAAATAATAAAACAACAAAAAAACAAAAAAGTACTCTGCGGCTCTGCGGCTCTGCCACTGCAATAGAATAGATCCTTAAACCACATCAAGTTCCTTTCACCTTCTCATTTCTTCCTTACAATACAATTAGCACAAACCTTCTTTCCTTACAATAAGCAAGGAAAGACTGCATACAGCAAAAGTGAAGGAAGAGAGGTATGCCTTTGAACACTGCTCTTACACTATTCTTGGTTCTTGATTACTACATAAACACTCACCTAAACTAAACCTTGTATGAATTAATTAGATCCCAATGCTCATAACCCACAAATTATTTTTACCAGAAAAGATTAATTTGGTCACAAGCTTCCTCACATTCTTTCTTTGTGATTTTCATGTCTTATTTTTCTTATTCATGGAATTTCGTGCATCTTGTTACTTATTTGGCTTTGATTAATATTGCAACCAAACCAACATGGTTATCGCTTTCTATATACCTAAAGATACATGTGCTTCTTTCTTTCTTTGGATGAATGAATGAATGAATGAATGGCAGTTCTTCCATGTGTTGTACATTTAAAGCCATGTGCATAATTGATAAGTTTTTAGCTAAATTTCCAACTTACCTACTATCTGTGATGCAACTTGAGCCTACATATTCCTTGGGTTTGGCAACATGAACATGATCTGGTACTGAAATGAGAGGTTCTGATTCAATCTAATTTTTTTTTATATATAAAAAATTCAATATTGTTTCCATTTACAGGCAAGCCAAAGACTAGTAATTGTATAAAAAGCTTTATTAAAATGCTGCTCAGAAGCTCATCAACCCCAGTCATTGAAACACTCCTCTCACCCTTCTCAGACAGTCCCAATAGTGCTCATCATCACCATTTCAACTTGACATCTTTTTCATGCAACTCTTCTTCTCCAAACTCCCATTCTGCTTCTGGGTTCATAGAGTTCAATCCAGAATCCAAGAGTTTAGGACTCAAAGCGATTCGGCGAGCTTGGTCTGACGGAAACTTGGAAGGGCTAGTTGATAGTTCTTGTGATATGGAAGAGTTTCGAAATTCGGTTGCACCAAGAACGTCTTCTTTCTATCAAGATAACAATTCAATGCTGGAAACAGCTCCGTCTTTTTCGATATTTCACTCGGGCATTCTTGACTTTCAAGGTTCAGATCAAGAACCACTGGAGAGGACCATTACAATAGGAGAGAACATAGAATCGGTGATGGGAGGTGGGGACTTCTGTTTTGGGAAGAAGAGTATGGGATTGATTGAGGAGAAGGGTGAAGAGGAAGAAGAAGGTTTGGATGGGATCCAGAGTTTGCGTGTTGAAGAACAAGTACGTCCTGCAAGTCCTCCCATGTATCTTGCAGCGGGGCTTGGGGTTCAGGCTGCTGGTTTTGGTTGGGATGCTTGGGATGATGAATTATCTATGGCAAATATCGATGAGAGCGGCAATGGAGAGGAGTATTATAAGAGGATGGTTGATGAATATCCCTGCCACCCTTTGTTCCTTAGGAATTATGCTCAAGCTTTACAAGTAAGATTTTTTGTTGAAGCATGTGTTTTTTTTTGCTAGTTTTTTCTTTTTTCCCCCATTTTGGTTGTGTTCAATTTATTATGATTATCACATAAAACTGAAAGAGCTATATAGTTAAGAAACTGATGCAGATATCCAATTTTCGATTCTTGATTCTGGAATATAAATAGCTTATGTTTTGTGTCCAATGAATGAGCAATCCCAACAATTTTTTGTGCCTGATTTTCTAATCTCCATTATTCCAGAGCTAAACTGTGAGTTCAAATCTGCATTACAATAGTGGTTGTGTAAGGCAAGGTCTAAGCCTTTTCTAGTATCTGTTTCTGCGATCCAATCTTTTTGTTGACCATTGGCTGGGCTGCAGACAAATTCCCTGCCTAAGACTCAAAGAGTGTGCTTGCAACTGTTGCTGCTATTGTTCTTTTCAATTTTGTAGACTTGTAGCTCTTGTTGCTTCGGCTACAGCTTTTGTTCAGGTCCAGCTATTAGGCTTAATTATCATGAAGGTTGTTATTCACGTTGAACAAGTCTTCTTCTCGTCTCTATCAGGGAGAACGAAATGTTGCCTTTTAACCTTAGTTATATGTGACTTGAGTTAAAACTACTGAATAGCCTGATCGTTCTGACTAAACTTCTTCCCGATTAAGTGACTTGGGAAGAAGCTAAATTCATACCCCCCC